CCCGGCAATAGAGAAACCTAATAACGACTTCTAGCTATCGGGTTATATCATATTCTACCTTAAATTGTTCTCAATTAAAGACCTCCGTTCTAATTCTATTGCTATTAAAAAACTGTTAAACACTGAGCTTGTATCGACTATCAAGGCATAAGAGATAAGTGAGAGACAATGAAACATTGTCCATATGTAGATCCTTTAGTTATGGCCTGATGCCTTTGTGTTTGCTCTAGGATTCAGAAACCACTATAGCTGTCAAACACAGTTACCATACTACTTCGGTAACCTGCTTGGACGCTCTTGTTGTAGCAGTTTAAAGTATTTTTTTGCTTGAGAGTAATTTAAGATGGTTTTTGTACTATCTGGCCAGGTCAACAATAGGCTAATTGTTAAATTAAATGGTGCATTTTAGCTTCGATAATGTTACCCTTGCACCGTCCAAGTGCATTGATACATAGTAGACCACTAGAACAGCTTCCTGTATGTCATGCTTGATGTATCGTCTGTCTAAGTTTCTATCTATAACTGCTGTCGTTTTATCTGTTTTTATCCCAGTTTAATACAGTAATATTTGATATGTTGTAGGCGGTTTAACTTAAAGCTAGTAGTGCACGGATATGATACCTAGAATGGCTGTGTTAGTTATGATATGCAAACCATGTTGTCAACTAACTTAGCCACTAAAACTTATTTAATTGCATTTCTATTCGTTTATAAACAATTCCCGCGTCGTTTCCGGCTGTAGGTTCAACAATTCTTATAAATAGCTATTAGAAAAGCCCTGGGTCCACAGCCAAGTAGGTTCGGTCTGATAAGGTGTTTAGGCGGCTATAATAAACGCCAAGTACTTGGTTTTGTTTATAGATATGCATATGTTTACCCAGACGTGATGAAGTGAACGATTTGGTATTGTTAAGGACTAGTGTGATATGAAACGGTAACAAGGGAACCACTATCGGCCATAAAAAAAAACTCAAAACAGAACCCTTTCAAACCACAGCATGATTGACTGTATTTCTTTTTAGAACATCAAAACGTTTAGATTCGCAAATTATCACCTCTTTATCCTTATTTTCTTAAAACTACTTATAAAAGATAAGCTACCAAAACACAATCAAGGTATTTGTTCCTTCACTTTGAACCCGCACGACCAAAATGGCTGCCATATTATTTTGTACAACAAATGTACAAAGTTTAGTTTTAAGAAACCAAGATTTTGAAAACTCCTAACCGACTTATGACAAATATGATAAACTATAAAAAACTCAATCGAGGACTATTTCTACTTCATCCAGACACTTAATAACTAGTTTTGTCGCAGAAATAAGTTATATTTTTGTATGATTTATGCGCAGTATTTGTTACAAAAAAATCTACAATTTTTTTTTTCATAAGCAGGTGTCCATTACCGTCCTTCCCCATCAAAAAGACCCCACACAGACCGGCAGACTCGATATCGGTACGAGTTTCCTGATTTCTCGAGTACAAAGCAGAGCAGTGTAGATAGAGTGATCAATGTTTCAGTGTAAGTGTGTTATAACCCAATAACATCAACAACAAAGTCAAGAATAACGACTCAAGGAAAAGTCCATTTAGGAAGACTTACAATGTGATTTCAGTGTGTGTACATAGTTTATACTAAAAGGAGTATAAAACTATACTTTCAGAGGTTACACTGGGAAGGTTTTTATAATGAAACATTTTAAGATGAAAAGCTTTTTCTTTCTTGTCGTTAGAAATGTGAAGAGGTGTAACAAAATGTACCAGTAAATATTACTCACAAAGTGTGTAGATAATGGAAAATATGATCGTTTAAATCGACGTGATGTAAAATAGTCGAATTGGCATTTTTGTATTTTATTTTAACAATGTAATTCAATGGTCTATCTCTTGTGGTTTTGCTATTGTTCGTCTTAAAACTTGTTAAATTCGAATTCATAACACACGAGTACAGGCCTCCCTGTAGGAGGTGCAACAATAAACTAGATTACAACAACCCTGCAACCATATACCACTAGACCATGGATAAAAAAAAGTTTAAAATTAAGATTCAATAGACGTGAAGAGATCAAAAGAATCGAGGGTTGTTTAGAGACTGTCGGTAAAATAAGAAACATACCTAAGTGAGGCATTGCTAGTATGCTCATGAAGTAATCTTGGCCGCTAAGAAAGGTACCATATTCACAAATCGAAAAGAAATTTGACGATTTTCAGTCGATCATTCGATGTATCAGTAAATCAGTTGTCATTCTAGAGTATAAACGACGGTATTCTTTTTTGATGAATCCCCTTGGGATTTCGGCATGTTTCTAAAGCTCGTTCTATTGTTCACATCAAGACATCAAAAGTATCGACAATTCGTACTGGATTTGAACATAAACCTATCTTCATGTTAACGGCCATGAGAACTCGGAAATGATACGAGAGTGGATTGTATTGGGTTAAGATTCTACTAAGACACAAAGCTATAAGGCTACTTCCCTATTTTCATGGCTCAGATTTCGTCTCGTCCGTTATTTCAGTCGAGGAATATAGTCGGCGTTGAGCGGGAAAACCTTTCTACAATGCGGCGCTTATAAATTGATCGATAGCATTGATTTAAAAACTGCCGTCCTAAAGGCTTAATGATTTGTATATATTGCTAGTAGTTGTCGATCATCGAGTCCTTGGACGAACAAGAAATGTGTTCATATTAGAACGACACACCCATCACATCCTTTCATTCAAGTTTTTCATAAAATCATACTCTATCTTTCAAGATATTTGACCATTCCGCCAGATGGAAGGCGATTTATAAGTATGTGTCTAATAGCGTTCTAGAACGAAGGATCTCTAGTGCAAATATGTATTTGTGTGGCATTTGAGTCAAGGTTTACTCAAGAAGATCTTTGCAGCTGTAGATGATCTCTCTCAATCATAAAAACATAATTGAAACGTTAGAGAATCACTTGAAAAGTCTAAAACATGATAAAGCAATCGTGAATGTACCAAAATCAAGAATAAAACAGTGTCACAGTGAGCTGAACTTATATATATTGCTAACTAAGGATGCTTTGATTAAAACAGCTTTTCCCATAAATCGATACAGCAAAGGTTGTCCTTCAAGTAACTGGACAGATATCTAATCATAGCAAAATAGAGATGGATTCTTTATATATAGAAAGATTGTACATGTCATCATCTCGTTCTATTTCGTGTTCTCATCAATTATTATATGTTCTTTTCGTTTGCACATTTCCGGCCAGTTCAACACTCTCTCCATCACAAAAACTTGTAGACAGATTACTTGTCTCGGTGATTATTTCATGCTAGAATTTCCTATCAGAAACTAGGATTGCGATAACCCTGCTTATTTTACCATGAGTTGAAACTAAAGGAATATGTCATTATGAGCAGAGTGAACTAATGATGTCTTTGCTGTCCAATCTTTGGATATCTTTGTGGCCTGATCAGATACTTTGGTAGATTTTCTAAATGGCTATTTCCTTTCCAATAAATATCTTCCAAATGTTGTGTTAATGTGAAACTTGTGAGTTGCTGTCATCGTATTTTGTGGTTATATTGTTAGCTATGGACATATATTTACTGGTGGTATTACTAGGGTAACAACATTTATCAAGTAAGAATCCAATATTGATGGTACTGTGAGCTGTAGTAAGTGTTAGACAAGATGAATTGACGTACAAGACACTAGAATCACTTAAGACCTTACAGCAAGCGATGGACCATTATGATTGACAAATGTTATAGATACCTTTGACGACAAACATTCAATTATCAAAATATACAATGAAAAACTCGTACTTCTGCAGGTCTTTTTGAGATCATCAATGTTACCCTATGATTAGCTGACTTTTTCGAAAACCATTAATTAGATAGTTGTTGGACTTTTCTTTGCAGTAACAAAACAAGAAAGGTTTCGGTGTCTTAGTGTTCGTAACGCTCTGATTACCCTATTCTTTGCTTGTGCCTATCTGTAATTTGGCATCTATTGCGGTCACTCTACTTATATTTATACTGTGTTTTCCGTTAACGACGCAGTCAGAGAGGTGACCGGTTTGTCGCTGGTTTACTATCTGCGTCCTGCTGATTTAACACCTCAAACATGAGACTTTCACATCTTGTTCGCACCATCTAAATTGTACTATAAGCTGATTTCTTTAGCACCGCATCATAGACAAAATTATTAAACTTTTACTGTGTTAACAACCATGAGGAACAAAGACATTGGTGTATAGTGGTAACACAAGGTTAGAGACCTTATTCGCTTTCACTGGCTTTAAATACCAAATAAAGCATTTATCAAAAAATAATGCCTAGTTGTTTATAGTTTTATGTGATGAAAAACATCTTATGTTCGAGTTGAGCCGAAGACTTCGTCCTGCATATTGATAACCCAGTTAAAATGTAAATATATAGCTGTTGTAATTCTTGGTAAAACACACGCGTTGAAGTTTCCAAACTAGCTTAGTATGTTAGTTATTTATTTCTCAACAAGAGAGCCAAAGTGTCCCTGCTGGAGCTAATACAAAGAACACCGATGCATCGTAATCGTGTGTGTTTAGTTGGCAATTGATGTAAATATTGTAATTATAGACATCGCTGTGGAAAATATTCATCTGCATTCCAGCTAGGATAGATTTCAAATTTCTTTTACATAAAGATGATATTTTGGGAATGGATTAATCTAGTATTATTCACAATTGTAACATGTTAATAGCAATCAAATTGAGGAAGGACGCTGGCCCCGTTTGAACCTTGTTGATTTCTTGAATGAGTGCAAAGCTTGAAATCGACAAGCACTATGATTTAACTTCTTAATCTAAGTACTCGGAAAGAGCTATTAATTACGAAAATATTTATTGAGTACAGCCGAGTAAAAACAGTGTGTAATATGAGGAGCTGAGGCAAACATTTGATCTGACCTTAGGCGCGTATTCAAGGATCTATTAGACGCATAACGAATACTCTATAGTGAATAGTATAGATATACTTGTACTTACTTCTCGTAGTCACTTCTACAGTACAGCTTACGATCCTTGCTAAAGCACGACCTTGACAGTGGCGTACGGCAAATACAACATTGTAAACAGCTTTCATGCCATGCTTCGTCAACTACTTTCATAAGGAACCGGTCTTCTATGGGCTCATTGCATCCAGTACAGATATTCATTCTCCCATTACAAGTTGCCTTACTACCTCCTGTAAAAGAAAGAAAAAATCTTGTCAATAACCAAGTCGACATGTAGTATGCGTGATGATGTAGTCTTACGATAGTATGGCTTGCATTCAATGTTATCGTTCATGTCATTGGGATGGGAGGAGAGGTACTAAGTCTGTCTTCAAAGCCCGTTACAGTTTCAATCCTGTATGATGATATAGTAAGGCCAGTATACGAAGGTTGAATGTCTTTGGGATTGCAGGTAATATTCATGAATCGCACGATACTTTGCTCTTGAACGCCACTAGTGCTCGATGTTTGTTTTTGAATTTTTTTTCTTTTCAAATGGATTTCCTTGAAGGTTCGTTTAAATTGGCAGCTCGTTTAAATCACCTGTTTGAGACACCGAACTGAAATACAGCAAAAAATAGAACCGAAAGCGTGTGATTTTGATATGGACCGACTCGCCTCCTGTGATGTTTACTGTTTGGCCAAACCTCCTTTGGACTGTGGCTTGCTTGTATGGAGGCCACTAGGGTTGTCTAGCTTTGACACCTCAACAACTGAACTATTGGTAGCGGCGAGCGTCGGATCTTATTGTTCGTTTAGTAATGACATATGACGTCACTCAAGCTCTTCTCGAAATGAACATGAGCCCACGTGGACAAGAATTCTAGTGACAAGCAGTTTGTGATCATGATATGGTAGCATTGAAAGCAACCAGTAGCCTGCAGCTATTTTTAGCTTTGAATCTCGATATAATTAGTTTACAAAGCCATGTTAGAAATACAAAGGGCTGGTGGCGGAGGTTTGAGACCTAGGACTATTCAACGATACCGGAAATAAGGGTTTACCAATGAGAAGAAGGGACAGCATCCATACACGTGCAAAAAAAGCAGTATTCACGACACCTGCACACTCCATAAATGATTCACTTACGAATAACCTGAAAACTTCTTGCTGAGCGACACATTAGGAAACGCCAAAAAGAACACTTAAAACCCCAGACATTTGCTGTTTCGATTGTATGGCGCGTCGGAATACCTTGATTCTTGATTTATTCTGTAACACTTGTGTTTCTTGTAGTTGTCATGGTGGCTATGAATCATGACAAGTTGAGCTGTCTATCACGACTAGCCTTCCAACGAATGAGTACGCCCCCAAGAACTTCACACCGCCAATGCATTCAATTGTCGGTATCTTTTGAAAGAAAGCCAAATATTGCGGCCAATTGACACTCAAACCATCTTATTCCTACACCATAGCCGATCATATTACGAATTCCGAACAATAGTTGGAGTAAAGTGACTAGAAAAACCACAACTTAGAACGAATAAAGACCCTCCAACAAGGTTAATCTAAGGGTCAATTGAATTTTATCCGATTAGCCGAACATTCTGGTCTAAATATAAAGATGGAATAAACTCAAAATAATTAGTTAGACCGAAAGCCACTTGACTAGATTGTCCGCGCTGTGATATTTTAAGTGTAAGGCAGAGGATGACTTCGATAGGTTCAACAAGCTATTAAATCGAGTTTAAAACTGCCGGACCAAACCTCCGTGTAGGGAATTTCTACAAGTGAAGATATTGGTATTGTTTTGATCATTAAAGTCGCCGATTGGATTGTTATAAGATAACACACACAGCAAGTAGCTGTTGAAAATTTCTACTAGCGCAACTAAAACAACAAACAGATATTTACATCTGAGTACACAAATACATCGCAAAGCAAACGTTGCAATGAATCGATCTAATTAAAGGGTTCTCTTAACCATGCAATTACCAGCCATTCACGAATCAAGTGGCTAATTGTAAAACTCCAGAAGGATACGTACCGTGACAGCCAGTATTTAAACGCTGGTATAGATACTCTAGATCCATCACGACTACTTTCAACACAAATAACTTCAATTTACTGCTACTTATACACAGTTTTTCGAGCAGTAATACTTGCTGTCGGCATTTGTTCCGGCAGAGCGTAGTCTAAAAGGATATTGAGGGAATACCCTTCTGAAATGTACTTTTGCAAGGAGGTCCTAGCGTATCACGCCTCTAACACCCCTGCAGCGCATCTTTCAAAACTTGTTGAGAAACAGCTATGAAATGATAAGCCGTGATGACAGGCACGAGGTCGGGTGATAGTGTATTGCTTACCACTCCGCAGGCCACTGTCTACCAATTATTCTCGAGTACATAATGACAGTGTTTAGCCCGAAGTGGCCGATCGAACAAATAGAATAATCAGTGACCCGCGCCAATCGCGTTTATTTGCCTATTGCTGCAGGCGTTGAAGGTAACTGATACCTACTTCTGACTCACGCGTTTATTCTCTGATTCAAGGCTAACCTTCACCGTGTTTTAACGACACTTTGATGTGATATAGACAATTTCTTTTTTAGCAAACAAAATATCATGGTAATTTTTGTTGTTTCGGTACCTCTTTTAAGGGTTTTGTACTACAATAATTTTAGTGTTCGGAGTCGGTATTGCTAAACTACTAATTTGTATGGGCTATTGTGATTCGACGTGGTTCAAACAGTAGCCGCTACGAGCAGTATACAAACTATTTTCATCGCACCATGCATCTATATCATATACGTTTGCCTGTAGATTGTGCTTGGGTTAATCGTTTATCAAGACAGACTTCAACAGTGCCATAATTTCCATCAAAAACAGGTTTAAATGATTAGGTGTAGAGCGCTTTGTCGGATCCCACAAACCACAAAGGCTAATGTTATGCTAAAATATTTCAAAGGACATCCTTCGGTTCCGCCGACAGATCTACAGCTGCCGCTGATTATATTCCTTCATGTAACTTCTAAATAACTTTTGGGACAAACTAAATGACTAACAAAAATACAAACAAACATTCTGCAAACCTTTACCCCTAAAACTGCTGGATAAACCTTGAAGAAAGGTATATAATAACGACACTGAACGAAAATATGTCTGGTAATCTGACCACCACAACAGCCACTTGAACTAACGTATTTGAAAACCATTTTTTGTTAGTGTTTTCAAACAATGCCTACTTGTTCTTCTTTGTTAATGGCTTCTCCAACAACTCATCCCATTACAGGCAAACATAGCGTGTATCTAGTCAGTCCGCTATATTTACACTGTGTTTTGTTAAGCGCAAAAAACTCCCAATAAAACTTGATCTATGGTAAGTGGGACTACGATTCCTAAGCAATACTGAAGCCATATTAAGATTAAGTTACATGTCGTGCGTAACCGTTACTTTTTGAAAGGTTTCCAACCGTCCTTACAAGCCCAAGTCGTTTTAGCTGACTTTAATTTCTTTCTGCAATCACTGTCATATTCTGATTTCTTAAAAACACGTAAACCAAATGGCTTATCTAATCGTCGCCTCTCAACCAAGATTGGGAAACAATTAAATTTTTCATCTCTTGTAAGTAAGATCGAAAAAGATTATAAAAAGTCTTTCTCTGCACCTTATGTGGTTTGTTTATAAAACAGTCATCCTATAAGAACCAACCAAATATTGCTCTTTTACCTAAAACTCTCACTCAAGAACTGTACTTGAAAGCCATCTTCTCTCCGCGTGGAAATCGGTTGCCGATCCGCAATTTAATGGCAGATTTGATCTGTACGGTATCACTGTTCAAAGAAAGCGCAATTTCTTGCAAGCTGGGCTAAAATTAGCTCATTAGATGTCATTGTAATTGGCCAAGAGAACCATCGAGACCCTTACCTTAATGAACTGTGAAAAAATACTAGAATTTTATCAAATATTTGCTTCTTATCTCAAAAAGTGAGCTTTCTGTTTTTGGATTCTGTAAATTGAAAGCAAGATTCCCCAGTTGTAGTATTTTTGGTGTGTTTGTTAGTAGAGAGGGTTGGTAGGGATTTTTCAAAGGTATTCATACTTTTAGAACTACTGAAGATATTGCAGTAAATATGTTTTGACTTAAAAGAAATAAAAAAAGATTCAGTGGGCTTTGAATTGTTGTTGATGGCTGGTAAATGTTGTTGTGTTTCTGAGATGGTAAAGGAATCAGACATTTGACATTTGTAATGTTTTTGATTCCATCACTGTTCACAGGCATAGCTTGGACGTATCTGGCTTACATAACAAAACCTATGATTTTTTAAAAGACTTATGTACAAATAGGAATATTGAATTACTGTGAATCCTTGAAATAGTGATTATAAAATATAGTAATCGCGGAAGCATTGATTTGAAAGCCAAACAGTGGCGCCGATAAATTTCCAACCGGGTTTTTAGCTAACCTTGTCACGAATCTAAGTTCAGGTTTGGATGCCTTTTGGAACTCTTTTTTTATATGTTTTTCGGCTTTTCTTTCAAGTATAATTGCATTTTGAATGGATAGTTGAGAGACTGAAGAAAACCGATGGATGTCATTTTTCTTTAACTACCAAAATCTGCTCAAATTTTTGCCACAATTTGCTGAAATCATTTCAAATTTTCGTATTATTTTAGTTGCGTTTCACAGTGTTGGAAACACTTTTACAGGATGTACAATCGATATCATTTTTTAACATTCAAAATGTACAAAGTTTTAAGTAATTTTAGGGAAATTAGAGCGAAAGGTTTGACAATTGAAAGGTTTATATACTATTGTAATGATTCCTCTAAGTAAAGCGCCTAGATTTCGTGACCTTTCCACGCATACAAACCAGCTAAATAGGAAGTGTATAGGCTAACAAATTATCCTGACTTTAGATGAAACTATAAGACAGTTAACCACAAACGAAGATTTTCATTCGACCATGAAGACATGACAATGTCGGCAGCTCCGTATCAAATGATGATATCTTTGTCTTCAACACCAGTTAATGGTTAAGGTTTGGTTAAAAGAAAAGAAGTCTGACAACCATGAAATTGCATGCTTGTCTACAATGACTGCCGATTCTATTTTACGTGGTTATAACAATACCATGAACAGCCAACCCTTGTCTGCAGTTACATCGAACTATCACAACTCTAAGATGGTCTTCCAATGGCCTAAACGCGTCTCTGAATTGGTCAGTAATCCACGAACGTTAAGCAAACTAAATATGACACTAAAATCCTTAAGTTTGAGCAATTTGTCATTTGCGTACCATATAAAAATAACACTTGAATAGAAAAAAAGGAAAGCGCTTGTTATCCCCATGTAAAAACCTGTCCTCCTGTTTAGGACGCTGTGCAGATCGAGAAACCACCGCGGGGTAGACAACAAATCCGGTAAACTTGTACTAGGAATAGACAAACCTTCTCTTACAAGAATATTGACGAGAATATCAGGACGAACACATGTAGGAACTGAGCTGTCAAACGATTGAAAAACGGACAGCCTCTGCAATAAATATCGCTACATTTTGACATGGTAGAGTGGTGCATGATATAATACCGTTAGTCTATTCATCTTTTGTATATTAAATACGAATGGCCTACCTAAATCTGCGCTCAGATCCATGGCCAAACTTTGCCGGAGGACTTGGTAGTTTGTAGTGTACTCCGAAATTTGATGTTTTGAGTCTCTTGGCTGAAAGACGATTGAGTCAATACTAGGACCGGATCTAGGCTTCCAGAGCTCCAGTTGGTCATTCATACAACTGAAAAGGCGGGATTAATGTGTGCCAGCTTTGACATTAAGGCACACTTGAATATTCATCGTAAGTAAGTCTTGTTTTTATTTAGCAGATTGATCCGTTATTGCAGTGTGCTATCTTGGTGTGAAATCCATCCTACTTGATCAATCGTTCTTAAGCATCAATCACGCGTGATCGGTTGTTCGAAACTTTTGTCAAAAACTTGTATTCGATAAATCACTTTGTTGTAATATTCATGAGTGTTCATTCAGTGGAATTGGTAATGAGTCGAGAAATTGTTTTGGGACATGCATAAACATGTCCCACACGATGTTCTCGTCCAATCAGAGACGTAGTTTCTACATGCCATTTCACAAATACCTATCAATGGAAAGGATCGGACTTTTTTTACGAAAATGCGATGAAAATAAGGTGGATGTCAAAAAAAGACAATTAATATTGATTCTAATTGGAAGGGTGAGGAATGCTGTGGGATATGAAATAACCCCAACTGTGATATAGCGAATTCTTGGTTTTCTGTGATTGATGGCTTTTGCTTATTGAAACTAGTGAATTTCTTCATAGGTTGGTATAGAAATTACAATAAGTATGGAATGTAGAAATTACCCCCGTAACAACCAACAAAAATCAGTTATTTGGTAATACTTTGAAACACTTCAAAGCTAACGGGATTGTTTATCAAAAAATAATAAAATTATCAAAGATGGATAATTAATGAGCCTCGCCCCGCGGTACAGGATAGACAAGTGGAGGACAAGTAATATATTTCGCCCATGCATCATAGTCATTGATGTAAGGCCTCCAATGGTGCAGTAAGCAACTCATTAAACACCAAATGTAGTTATTCTGTGAGAACCTTAAAATTCCATATAATGCACCCTAACCCATGAATACTAGGAACAGTATCCCATGGCAACTCCACAATTAGCATTAAACACACGAGTTGCAAAAGCAGCTTGGTCAATATTAGTCCGTCAAAGTGTCAACGGTGCGGTGAGAACAAGGTTTCCCTTGACAGGACCTAACACGGGTTATGTGGGTGATAATGACAGCTTGTCAGTAATGTCAACGTTCAAAGAACACCGCATCTGCAAACAGCCAATGTCAATTTTACTTGTACGTGAAAAGAGTTCGACGGATGTTTGGCCTGCAGTCTAATCACCTCCTGTTGAGTGGCAGCTTGCTTCTTTATGCGTATTAAATTATTCAGCTCTTCGCAAATGCACTGAGGACCAAGAGTCAATAGCACACAAATTGTAAAGCGCTGCTCACTAACCACCGGAAAACTTCTTTACAAAAAACACTCTTGTACTTCGTGTAGAACTTTTCTAGTCAAACCCTGACCTTAGCATACTTCTTCAATAGCTGACAATAGTTACTCTGGCCGTGTTGTTGGCAGTTTTCAATATCTTTTAATGGAACAGGGACGTTGTTCTGTGTCAATATTTCAGCCTTTTGGGAGCTTTTTCGCACCGACTTAGACACTTGAGTTGCTAATTTATTTGCACGTTGTGTTGGTTGCACTTTTTTAGCTTGTTTAAGATTTTCCTAATAAAATGAGCCTCATTTTGTACCACAGTCTTGATTTGAACTTATAGTTTTGTATCAAATAACTCTAAAATCATTGTAAAGTGAGTTTATGGGGATCACAGTTCAGTGTATTCATACCAGGTTGTTAGAAATATTCTTGTTTATTTTTATGAGAGTCTAATGGAGAATTTTTCGCGGTATTTTTTCATAGTAAACTACGATAAAAGTGTCTGTTGCTAACGTCAAAATCAAATGACAAGAATCACTAATGTCCGTGACGCTTATTCAAATTAAACGAGCAAATAAGACCTGCCTACTCGATGTGCAGTAAAACCGCCACCACAAATCTGCTACCGTTTTACTAAACTGTAAAATTCAAAGGATTTGAAAAGAATATTGTTTATGAGAATCAAAAAGGAATAGAGGACGTGGTTGGACGCCTCAACGATTCGTATTCACCGAAGCCTAACACTAAAACCTCCTATTGGTAAAGATGGTAGCGAGGACAAAGTCAGTCATGTCCTGTATTCAGTCGTTTTAAGAACATATGAACAGAGTGCTGGATGTACTTTTCATGTGTCAGTATTCAGGCTCTTTGGAAGTTGGTATAAGTCTAAGGAACTAAATTACATCCCAGCATTTTACCCGACACAGCAGGGAGGCTATTGCGGTGTGSATTGCACCTCTACCGCCATGATCTGCCGACACTATTTCTACAATAGATAGAACGAATAAACTCACGAATGTTCTTTGTTTAAGGTATTTTCTTTTAATTTATCTATGTCGGCTTGTATTAGTGTTAAGCAGCGTTAGTCATCGTGTTCGGCAAAGGCTTTGAGTATGACTCTACACAAATCTGTATAAATGTATTCTTTAGGGCGTGGACTGGTCTATATACTTCGTATACTGTGATTTCTCGTTGATTGTAAGTACGTTATAGAATAGATTTCGATTTATAGATCTTTGGAGTTTGATCTGTGTTAGTTATTCGTTAAGGTTTCGCTTCAAATCGCGGAAACAATCGAAAGGCAGCATATGAAAATGTATTTGTTTGCTTTGCTTCTGTTGACCTTTTTCATCTGCCATGCAGACAAACATCGACATTTACGAGTCGTTTCTATTAATTTGACAACCTTTGAACGATTTTCATTGCTGCTTTTATTTTTCTCAAACTGGTTAAGTCGGTAGCATTGACGATGAACGATTTCTCTATATAACCAGTTGGTCTTTGCGCCGATGGTCTCGTTGACGCGTCTTCAATACTCCTTCGACATATAGCGTGTTTATTTGTTCGAGGAATCTAAGTTTTTCATCAACTGTAGATCAGCAAAAACTCTACGGTAAGTTCTTTCTCGATTTTCAATGCTTTT